GGGGTGTGTGTGTGTGGGGGGGGTGCTTTGCCACGAGGACGTTTGGCTTAAAGACACATCGCAGAGGAGGAGATTGTCCCCAAAGGACACAACCCAGAGGCATTTCTGGTCCCCACCTGTTGTTTTGCTCCTCAACATGGCTTCCTAAAAACACTGCAGTATTTCTCCAACATGCATGAATGAGTCAGAGCAAGGCTTTGGGCATGTTTTTTATGAGAGTATAACATTATAACATGATATAAAACTCAAAAAAGTTGATTTTACATGATATTACCCCTTTAAAATGAAAGCATTTTGTTTTCTTCACATTTGTTCGCAGGTTCTCCTTTCCAGGGCCTCTCTGCTGTGCTCTCCGTGGCCCCACCTGTAATACCTCCACCAGTCAACATGGGCGGCCCTCCTCCTCCTCCGCCACCGCCGGGCCCACCGCCCCCATCAGCGGGGGGCCCTCAGCCTCACCTCCCTCCTCCGCTGCCCTTAGGAGGAGGCGGCCAAGGGGACGAGGCTCCTGCGCCCACGGGTCTCGCCGCGATGATCGCTGGAGCCAAACTGCGTCGAGTCCAAAGAGTAGGACCGCCTTCTTGTTGCTGTCGCTTTGAGCTCCAAATGCAGGATTTAGCCTGACTGTCTCTCTGCTCCTCAGCCTGAGGAGAGCTCTTCAGGCGCCAAAAACGAAGCCAACCGAACGAGCGGGGGGAGCGGAGGACTGATGGAGGAGATGAACGCTCTGCTGGCGCGAAGGTCAGAGCAATCAGCCCAAACATGAGCCTCAGGCTGCCGCTCATTAAGACACTTGGGCTAATCACTGTAGTTGAGCTTGTTTTTATTAAATTTGACTATAATTAGGAGATTTGTTCTTCTTATTCGAGGCTTCTTCTTTCCTCCAGAAGGAAAGCAGCTTCAGAGAAGCCAGAGGACAGCCAAAATGTGAGTGAGCTGAAGTCTTTTCTGAAGCAGCTGATCCACAGTGGAGCAGTAATGAACATTTATCAGTAATATTTCAATTTCTTTCGATTTCTCCAGGACGATCCAAACTCTCCATCCCCCAGCACTCGGAGTGGACAGAACTCAACAGGTGTTCAAAATACACAAAACCTGTTTGCAGAGGAGGCTGTTTTTTTCTTATACTGTTTCTATCCAATATTTGTCCTACAGATGCTAAGAAGCCCTGGGACCGAGCTAACTCTGCAGACAGGTCAATGGTTTCCAGGTAAGAGCTGAAAGCACCGCCGCTGGCTCCTCAGAGAAGAAGAGATCATGGTTTTTTTATTGTTATTATTTTGATCGTGCAGGGTACGACCTGCAGGGAGCGGAGGAGACACAGACTCGTTAGACCTCGACAGGATGAAACAGGTAAAACGAACCGGACTGAACTGACTGCATGTTTGCACTGAGGTGAAACCTTTCTAYAGCGCATTAACATTTATTTTCTGTGTCAGATGTAAATAGAAACATTTCTCTTATGTTTCTGCTTCAACAGGAGATCTTGGATGAGGTGTTTCGTGAATTGCACAAAGTAAAGGAAGAAATAATTGATGGTACGTTGATTCTKGGAACCAATTTCAATTTTGAAAACCAACCAATTGGCATTTGGAAGTGTTATTAAAAATAAAGGTACCACTTTACAATAAGGCTCCCCTTATAGATGGCTAAGGAATAGTTTATAGATAGGTTATTGATTCATCTGTAAACACTTTATAATTCATTAATAAATGTTTATTATGGATTAATTAAGGACAGGAAATTGACAAATCTGTCCAGTTTCTCACCATATAGTGAGCCAAATCTGTTTGTGTACATATTACTAGGTTTATAAGCACAATTATGTATTGGAAACACGTATTTAAAAAATAAAACTGAACTATTACTTATACAAATTAACAATTGTCAAAGGGAGCCTTATTGTAAAATGTAAGACAGTAGGTACACTAATTATTAATGACTAA